AAATTTTAAAAATCGTATATTAAATAGGGTTTGATTTCACGATCATCCGATTTCACCATCATCCGTGACATTAATTAATACACGTGATTTACGCAATTACCTCATCGGATCTGCAAAAAATTATGACGTCATTGTTTTGATTAGTATTATGTATTATATACGTAATGTTTTTTTTCAAAAAAAAAACAACTTTATTCTTTTTTTCCCTTCTCTTTTTCCCTTCTCTTTTCCCTTCTCTTTTCCCTTCTCTTTTCCCTTCTCTTTTCCCTTCTCTTTTCCCTTCTCTTTTTCCCTTCTCTTTTTCCCTCTCTTTTGTTCTCTTTCGTTTAGTCCTAAATTAATAAAAATACTTTTTCAATTACTTAAGTCGGACTTTCGAATCGGAACTGAAATGCGGACTTGACGTAGTATCTAAAGAACTCCAACGAATGACGAAACCACTATCGACCGATACGTTTACGGAACCCATTTTCACGACGTTGCTGGATAGTTTTTTAAAAAAGAATTAAAGGTAGGTTAATTTTATTGATGAATTTTTAATTATCTTTAGATGGGAGAGCTGTTATAAGCTCTATGCGTTACGCCGAATTTACTTTTTTGGAGATATCGTATATAGGATATATGGACGGTGAATTGGTTGAAGAACAAACGCAGTTCTTTCGCTTGAAGTTATGGTGAGGGTACAACCTGGTTCCGGATGAGGAATTAAGTTATGTACTCTCGTTACAGACCGTAACTTTAGAAGTTCACTTGAAGTGTGCTGCTGTTATCCCAACAGAAGGAACTGAGAATTGATAAGCTCATCGTGGCCGCAGTAACAAGACACACTCCACAGTGTGATCATGCTACTGTGAACGTACTTCTCAAGTTTCTGGATAACAATACCCTATATATTTCCTACAATAATAATGCTGAAATTGTACCAAATTTAAATTTGGCGGAGCCGGAGAATTGAAAGCTCTTCGTGGCCACAGTTTGCAAATTACTGGTACTGTGAACGTTCTTCTCCGGTTCCGATATTTCCTTAAGTAAAGCTCATTATACTCGTTATTTTGAATAGGTGTTTCGCTAAACTCGTCTTATATTATATAAAAAATTTGTTCTTTATTTTTAACTTACAGATAATTAATATTTTTTTTCTTTTTTTTTTTTAATTAGAAGAGAAAAAAGTACTTTTAGAAGAAAAAAACGGGAATGAAAAAAGAAGACATATTTAGAAGAAGAAATTGATTGAAAAAAATTGTAGTTTAGATAGTAAATTGTTGTAAATTGTACTAGTGAAAATAAATAAAAATAATACGATTTTAAGGATTTTAAATTTCGAAAAAAAAAAGATTCAAATTAATATTTAGCTTTATTTGTTTGCTTTAAAATGTAAATAAAAATAAATAAATTCTACCCCATCTTTATAAATGGTTCAATATTAAAATTGTCTTCAGTATTTTTATTACACTGTTATAAGTTATTTTGTACTTAATAATAAAGGTCATTTTTTTATTCGAAATTTTATAAAACTTTTTAAACTTTTTATTGTAATTCGACCCACCCAGATTTTTCTATGTGCGATCCAGAAAGTGCAAAATTTCGACAATACTAACATCCTGACATCTATAAACCGACAACCAAAATCTCAACATTACCAAAATCTCGACAATAAAAATAAAAACATTATAGATCTTAAAATGTAAAGCAACCAAAGAACGAACTGACAAAGTTTTGAGAACAGGTATTTCTTTAATATAATATATTACAATATGACAGACTTGTTTCTGTAATACTAGAAAGGATTTATCAAATTGAGAATTAGTAAAGACACCATTAAAAAAAACAATAAATACAATCTTTGCTTGAAATTCGAAACTATACTGTGTCAAAATTACAAACCTTTTTCTTTTTGTAACGTTACTGAAATGATAAAAAAAAAAATAAAATCATTTCAACATATTATTGCCTGCTATAAAAACTACCTCTAATAAAAGTCCTACGGGTTCGGTGATCTCAGAGATGGGGTGACTACAATTTGTTTGCAATGCACCTAGCAAACGGTCTAGCTGAATTTTGTGAACAGGCGATTTTTTGATATTCAATCATATCTGATAACGATAATTTTTATAAAATCTTGTGTAACATTTATGATAACTTATGCGAAAGAAGAAAACGAAAATACTCAAATTAATGTTTAAATCGTCGTTGGCACGCTAATTGCAGGATTGAGGGAATTTATATGCAATTAGTGATAACTGATCATAAAAAAAAACTTTTTCTCAATAAATTTATAAGACCCACGGTAACATCCAATACTAAGTAAACTTAGCAAGTATTTCGACCAAGTTCCATAAAATTTGCGTAGAGAGCTCGTGATATCATATAAAGCTTTAAATATAAGACCCGAAACAGATCTTAATACGTCTCATTCGAGTCTATATATGCAGTACAGTACATAGCAAATGGACAATTTCTATTGGACAATGTATTGCTATGAAAATGCATAGCATAGCCAAGATAAAGAATTGTACAATATAATCTCGTGCGGTTTTATCGGTATGGTAGAGGGTCGAAAAAAGCGGTTGAGTAGTCCAAACCAATGACCAATACTGTACGATTTTGAATTCTGTTATATGGTAGGTACTGCCAAGGATAGAAAAAGTATTAGTGTAATATTTAAATCTGTTAAAGATGACAAATTCGCAGATGAGAATTTTTGTAGGCTATGCGGAAACTATTTTCGTATAAATAACCTTATAAAATTATAAATGTACAATACTACTTCCTCTCAATACTTATTTAATTAAAATCTTGATGAATTATTGTCATTCTAAACTGTAAAAATTTTTAAACGCATTTCATTTCATCTCAGCGAGATCAGCGAGATGAACCGAATGGTGCAAAAATCACTCGAGTCTGTTCACTGGTTCACGAACACGTCCAAACACCCATCTTTTATTACACACATTACTCTGGTTATTGAGTATAACGACTAATGTTACAAATCGTCAAAATTTTTATTTTTTCAGTTGAACAACTAGTTGCAACTAATCGATTAATCGATTTTTCGATTAATTGTAAGTTACAACTAATCGATTAAGTGCAACTAATTAATTAAAGAATTAAATAATTTTTCAATCGATTAGCAATTAATTCTTTACTCGAATAGTTGATTATAGCGCTTTGCAAAAAGATGTGAACATGTGATTTTAGTAATGATGATGGCTGAGAATCACAAAGATTCCAGATTGTCTGTTACTTTATATTTTCGATTGGTTACATTTATATTCTTTGAAATCAGTTTAATTCTTAAAATCTCAAAAAATCTATAAAATCTCCGATTCTCACATAAAAAATGATCACATCTTTTTGCAAAGCGCAATAATTGATTAATCAATTAGTTGATATCTAAAAAATTCAATCGATTAGTTGTCAACTCGATTTGTAACACTAATCGTGGCCACGTTCTTCTCAAGTTTCGGATAATTGATAACAACACTCTAGGGTGCGGCCCAAACTAATTAAATCAAAAACATTAATTAGGGTAATCACTAATTTCGGATTTATTAATGGCTAAATTTCAGTTATCAATTTTGCTAACGATTTATGTATGTATATACATATGTGGGGTATTCATATACTAATTAATCAAACATATACTAGTAAAACATTAGTATATAATTTAAAAATTGATTCACCTCATGTACTAGTAATTTTTTTGTGGCAATTTTCGCGGCAAATGATAACTATAATGTAGTAAAGAAAAGTTACAAGCTTAAAATTTTAATTAATTAAAAATTTTTTAATTATTACTTAGTAAGATT